GCTCCCGGGTGCTCAGCAGGTGCCGGGCCGGGCCCCGCGCCGACGAGCCTTCGCCCGCTTCCGCCTTGTCCTCTGGCCGCCCCGATGGGGGCTTCTCCAGCATCTTAGTACCTGGCTTGAAGCAGACGCCTCCCGCTTTGGTGCGGACGAAATACTCGGTGGTGTCCTCGGGTAGCACAAAGTTCATCCGGTGGAGTTCCTCGGCGGCCTTGCTTGGTGACAATGGCTGCAGCAGGGGCGAGTGGGAATAGAGTGGGGTTCGCAGCAGGTCGGGGCTACCTGGCTCCGGGCTAGACTGCGGTGTGACCGGGGCATTGTTCCAGAAGAAACTGGAAACCAGATTAGGGCTGAGTGAGGCCAGTTCTCGGGGAAAGGTGACATAGGACAGGGTCTTAAAGAAGTGCAGAAAGGAGATGAGGCACAGGCCGGCCATACAGAACATGAGAAAGAGCTTGTAGCGTCTCATCTTCATCCTGCAGGAGAGAGGGAGAGAGCAGATGGGTCACGGGTCTGCAGACCCGGGCAAGGGGAGCCTGACGCTCTTCTCCTAAGGAACGGGCTGGGGAGGCCTTTGCTGCCCCCGTGCTTGGGAATGTCGTGGCCAGTGCCTGGGGCCCCTGCATGAAGTCACCTCTAGGTGACTCCTCCAGGAGCCAAGCCTGTGAGTCTAACTCACTGTACCAAGTACCCCCGGAAGGCCCAGCATCCAGGAAGCCCCTCCTGGCTCAGGACCCCTCCTGCTCCCACAACTCTTCCCCTCCCAGACCACCAGGTCACCACACATCCCCCTCTGCAACCCGCTCCTCCACCTGGCCCACCCAACCCTGACAGTACCAATTGCATTGTTAGGCTTTGCTCCAAGAACAAAATGCATCCTGGGAAAGCTCAACCCTGCAGTAAAGAATCTGCCCCAGGGGCCTTACAGGCCCCAAGAGAGGGAGGGAGCGGCTGCAGGCTGCTGACGACATGGGGTCCCTTCCCTGTAATGCTTGGGGTGCTTTCCTGGTCTATCTGTCCATCTATCTGTCTCTTTAGCTATCTTTTTTGTGGCTATATTAACAAATCTTTTACGTACCTTTTTCACTGAAAAAAATTCACAGGTTTCAAGTGAACATTTTTAAGTCTAACATATTTATAGAACAAAATTAAGTAAGCGTTCCCCTTCATTACCCCACGCCAGGCACTAGACTGATACCTAGGCATAAGTAGTTCATTTGTTTGAGGTATAGCCATGGTTTTACATGCTATATTTTTGTTCTCAGTTTAATATTTTTCGTGAATACTATCATATTGGACACTATGTCCAATCAAGTTGTTTTCCTCAATCAATGACAGATTAAAGAGATTTTCGTATCAGTAGAAATAAATATACCATTTCCTTTTAAATCTCACATAATATTCCATGGTCATTTGGAATGAATCACTATTTATGAGGGATCCATAAATATAACCATTCTCTATTCATTAACAGTTTAATTTATTAATTAGTTTATGGCTGTGGAATGGACAGCCTTGTATATTGTTTATAATTTTAATAAACTTTCTATGTTAGAATATTTATAGTTTATTAGGAAAACTTGCAAAGATAGTACAAAGGGTTCCCTTACACTCCTCATCCAGTCTTCCCTAGTGTTAACACTTTACTGTCCATGGTACGAGGTCACTAGAAGGGAAAGGGCACATTACTATTAACTAAACTCCATACTATCAACTAAACTCTCTGTGCAGCAAGAGAGCACTTCTGACTCTAACGATACAGCCCAGGAAGGTGGGCAGGCAGGCCAGGAGGTTACACCCATTTGGCCAAATCAGACCAGTGACTTGGTTGGGGTGAGCTACTGAGTCACAGGAGGGGCTAGGACAGAAACTGACCTTCGGCATCCAGTGTTTCCATTTCCCCTTCTGGTAGATCCCTGTGAGCAGGACACTGTCCTTCTTTCCCTCAAAATGTTCCTTTCTGTGTCTTCTTACGTCTCTGCTTCTTTCTCCGGGTCATTTGGGTGCCTTCCTGCCATACTCTCCCCTTCATTTCCTAACTTAAGCGAGGCTCCTCACCATTCTGAACCTCAGTTGATATATCTGTGAAATGGGTACAGAGTGCCTGGTATGCAGCCAGTGCCCAATAAACTTTCGTTTCTTTCAAAGCTTGGGGCTGGGGGAGTCCAAAATAATTTTCTCTAAGCTGCATGGTCATAAGCGCAGAATCATGAAATGTTTGATTTAGAACAAATTTTAAGGATCATCTCCTCCAGCCCTTTCATGTTGTAGAGGAGGACCATCGTTCCCGGCCTCACCTTGGGGAGGAGTCCTGAGCAAGCTAATGAGGAACAGTGGAGCTGCCAATCCCGCCAGCCAGGGTGGTACTTGTGCTATCAGATCCCAGATGTCCCACCTCCTCCAGTTTATGTTGACCCCCTGCAGGGGATGGCACAGCTGACTGCAGGCAGGCTGGACAATCAAGAGTGGGGGCCTGATCCCTGCTAAATGTCAGCGGTCCCAGGGCAGTGATAAGGCTCGTCTCCACTGGTTTTTAGGAAGGCTGGAGGCAAGGCTGCTCCTTGGCAACACTTTGAAGTGGATCTTCCAGGCTCCTCGCCCCACAAGGGATTCCAGCCCTGCTCTGGCAAAGTGAGACCAGGCAGACCAGGCCAGCAGGGTGAGTGGAAGTGCAAAGGGCCAAGGCCCAGCAGGAGCCGGCAAACAGGAGCTCTTGCTGGGGCAAAGACCAGGCATAAGGCAACACTGCAAACTGAGGTCAGCACAGCAGAAGCCTCCAGAGTGACCTGCCCGAGGGCTTTCAGGACCCAGCAAGGCAGCCCTGATCCTTCTGGTGTATTATTTTTCCCCACTTGGAGCCTCTCTTTGTGGGGCACCCCATTCTCAGCCCTTGTTGGACTGAACTGGCTATGAGCTGTAAAGGGCATGCCCAGGGCAGCCACTCAGACTGAATCCCCCAGCAGCAATGAACAAAGGCCTCAGGAAGGTATGAGAAACTCAGGGAGGAAAGTGAATACCCTGCTTAGAGTAAAGGGCCCCTATGGCCCTGACGAGGTCACAGTGACCCAGCTGCTCCCTGTCTAGGCTGGCCTTCGGGATTTGGTTACACCTGGCCACCTGTACCCTTTGGAGGACAGACTCACCAGTGTCTGGATCCCCCTCTTAATCACTGGGGCCTTCAGGGTGAGGCCACTTGGTGAGGCCCCAGCATAGCTTGCTGCCAAGGATCATGGAACTGAGTGTGTCTCCCTCATCGCTTAGGCTGCTAGGAGGCTCAAATACTCATGGTGGTTGGCCCAGAGCAAGTTAGTGCCTCACAGCCATGTGTTCTGGGACACCTTCACTCACGGCTGCCTGTGGTTTTTCAACTCCTACTCTTCTTGGCCTGATCCCTTTTTATCTTACCTTTAAGTAATTTGATAAGCGCTTCAAATACATTTTTTTAGACTGAGTGGCATATAAAGAAGAAACTGAATAAATAAAATAAGCACCAGCACCCAGGGTCTCCTGTAAGTCTCATCCACACTAGGAGGATGAGGATTATGATCACCCTATTTTTACAGATGTGGAAATCGAGACTCAGAAAGATGACGAGACTTTCCCCAAAGGACATTAAGAAGGTGGCCGAGCCAGGACCTGAACATACATTCTGTGCCCAAGCCAGCCTCTCCCTCCTTATAGGTGAGACCACAGCCCTGCCTGATTCAGGTGGCCTGGCTATGGGCTAAAGCCATGGAACGAAATTAGGCCCCAGCTCCAGCATTTTCACCTGTTATAAAGCGTCATTGGGAACAATAAAGCTGATAGTCACTGACACTTAACAGGCCAGCTACTGTCCTGGGCACATTACATGCACATTCTCACTGAATGCTCCCAACACAAAGCAGGTACCACTGTCATCCCCATTTATGGATGAGGAGGGTGCGGCCAGAGAGATGACACAACTTGCTCAGTGACACACAATTAGTTATTAAGGGTCAGACTCAATTCTGTGGGATCAATAGTCAAATTTCACCCAGTGGTAAAGCTGTCCTGGGCCCCTTCCATCTCCAAGTTCAATTCAAGTGGGGTGATAGGGGCCCCATAGAGAATCCACCGGGGACCAGTGAAGACAGCCAGTGGATGGAACAGCCATCAGTGCATTTGACCCACACAACCCCCCACAGGGTGTCTCCCAGTTTGTCTCCCCCATTCTCTCAGCCACTATTTACTGAGAGTTTGCTGGGTACCAGGCACCGCACTGGCCCCAGGAGCCATGAGACAAGGCCAATGAGAACCCCCGCCCTGTGGGGCAGGCATGGGGTTGGTGGGGCAACTAAAATTAAACGAATCCAATCATATCATACTTAGAAAGAGTCGTCCTCTGGAGAAAAATAAAACAGGGTAAAGGATAGGAGGCGGCAGATTTGGGGACAATTGGGTGATCAGGGCAGGCCTCACTGAGAAGAGTGAGACCAGAAGACAAGGGTGCAGGGGCAGCAGATTCCAGGCAGAAGAACAGCCAGCACCCAGGAGAGCATCTGCTGTGAGTGAGGAGGGCAGAGCGAGGGAGATGGATGGACCAGATCACACAGGGCCTGGGACTGTGGCTGGAAGCACGGCTTTTGCAGGGGGATTCTGAGCAGAGCCTCCGGTTTGAACAAGCTCACCTGGGCTGTTCTGCAGAGAACAGACTGTCACTTCAAGAGCAGAGCAGGGAGAGCATCAAGGAGGCCACTGCCCTGCCTGGGCCAGAGGCGGAAGTGCAGGAAGCGGTGGGATTCTGCAAGATTTGTCAATGACCTGGATGTGAAATGTGAGCGAGGAGTCAAATTTAGTGTCTCTAGGGCCTGAAAGGTGGACCAGCCTTTGACTGGGGTGGAGTCCACCCCTCAACAGCCTCCATGGAGATGGTAAACGGCAGAGCTGGGCTTCAAGGCAGCTCTGTGTCTGCAGGGTCCTCTAAGTGCTACCCTGCCCACTTTAAATGTGACACCGGATTGGAGAGACCAAAACACAGCCCCAGCCTGTCCCCATGCTCGCCATGCTGAGCCCGTCTCCCCAGAAGTCTGTCTCTCCCGCTGGACAGACAGCTGGAACAGCAGGTTATCAACAAGAGCACCTACGTCGTCCTGGGCCACCTCCACGTGCTCACTGTCACTTGCATGTACACTGACTTTAGAACCTAACCAAACAGTTCAAATCCTGGCTCTGCCATTTCCTATCTGTGTGGCTTTGGGCAGGTTAATGATCTTCCTCCTTTTTCTCATCTATAAAATGAGGGTTCAATAATAATCCACGTCAAATGCCTAGCACAGAGTAAGTGCCCAATAATCTTTAGCTCTTCTTGTTGCTACTGTCATTTCCCCACCTGGAAGAAAAGTAGTGAGAGCCTTCAGGTGGGGGTGCAGCTGGAGCAAAGGCTCAGAGGTGGGGCCCTGGCAGGTGCTGTCTTGTTTAAGAGCAGCAAGGGGTGGAGGGAGGGTCCTCAAGTGGAGCAAGTGGAATCCGGACAGAGCCTGAGCCTGACGCGGGCTGGGCTGGGAAATGGTACCCTACTTCCTGGTGCTTCAGGGAAGAACCATGAGGCTCGCTGGGAGCCTCCCTAGAATGACGCCCCCCCCACTGCCCACTCCACACATACTCTGTGAGTTGCACCCAACCCCAGGGACCCGGGGTCTCCTGTGTGGAGGTTGGGGGGTGGGATGAGCTGGGTGCTTCCTGGTAGTCAGATAATCATGGATGCAGGAGGCTGACTCTGAGCCAGGATGGTGGCAGGGCCAGCCCACTCTGGGCCTCCTGTTCCTGTGGCCATGCCCAGAAGGTTCCAGCTGGGCAGATTTTCTTCTTTCTCTCCCTCTTCCCACTTCTCCCTTCTTGTGACCTCTTTCTTTGGGCTCTGCTTGATAAGCTTATGAGATGAGAGAGAAGGAAGCAAATGAGCCCAAACCCCACCACCCAGCCATGACCTTGGGGTCTGGGCTCAGGCTGAGTCCAGTGGGGTCTCCTGGCCAGAGAGAAGACAGATGCTCCCTGGAGGCTACGGGCTGTAATTCTGGGACTGGCCAGATGGGCAGCAGCCTCCCAGGTGCAGGCACACCCTGACAGCTGTCACCAGGGTGACGGGAGGCTCCCGTGGAGCTCTCCGTGGTCCTGAGTTCACGTGCGCTGACCAGGGTCCTAGCTCAGGCCTGGGGTGTCCTTGGCCCTTGGTCCTGGCCCCTGCCAGCCTCCTCTGTGATTCAACAGCTCCTGTCCTACAGGCTACTTCCCCTATCTGCCACCCTCAGGCCCCCTTCCCCACCTGCCTCACAAGACCTGATCCCTGGTGTCCTCAGCTCTGCGACAGCCACAGGGCACTCCTCTGACTGGGAGAAGGGGCCAGCTGTGGTCTCTGTCCAACAGCGAACAGCTCCAACACCTACTAGGTGCTCGGGGCACCCTTGGATATCCATGGGGGAAACCTTGGAGGTTGCACAGCCCACCCTGTCTCCACTCCTGGCAGGAAACGGCCCATCTACAACCCCAACCCAAGAGTACCTTCATATGGACCCGCACCATCTCTCCCTCTGCTTCAAAGGGCATCTTGACTTTGAACTTAAGTCTGCTTTCCACTCCATCCCGGTCCTGCCTCATGTTACTCCAGGACTCTGCCTGGCTTTGTGAGGAGGAGGGGGCGGGGGGCAAGGCACCTTTGCAGCAAATTCTGTTGTGCTCAGCAGCCCTAAACACATAGTGGAGGCCAGTGGTTATGATGTCGGATCTGAACACTGCCTCTGACCTTGGCAAGTTACTCCACAATGCCTCAGTTCCCCTTCTCCATAAAATGAAGGTATAACAGTTCCTATCTCATGAAGTTGCTGTGAGAATCAAATGAGTTAATCCACGCAAAAGGCTAGTAATTGTGCCTAAGCATACAGCTGGTGCTCAGTGAGCACTGGCCTCCATTGCTACTGGAAGTCAGGAGGATTTGGTTTGAATCCTAGTGCTGTAACTTACTAGCTGTGGGATCTTAGGCAAGTTACTTAGCCTCTCTGAGCCTTGGTCTTCCCAGATATAGAAGGAAGATAGACTCTCCCTGCAGTCCTGTGGGAGACTTGGATGAACCATAGTACCAAAGCATCTTGTATTGGAGCCTGGCATTTTGTAGATGCTCTAAAAATGCCTGTTTCCTTCCATTTGGGTTTCCTTGCCAGATGATCAAATGCAGATGACCTCTCTAAATGTGGTAGGCCTTGCTCCTGGCCAGCTTTGTTAAAGGACTGGGCCAACTGGGGGGCTGCTTACTACTGACTGGCACCCATCACCTTGTAGGGCATTCTCAGTGACTCATTTGGCTTGCAGAACCAAGGCCAGACCTGAGAAATCTGGAGCCCCATGGAAGTTTGAAGAACTCATCCAAACCTTCACCCCAGGCCAGTGCCCCTGCCAAGTGCCCACCTGGCCTTTGCTTGTCCAGTTGTTAGTGACGCCCATTCCATTTGGGCTGATAGAAATTCTTCTTCCTATTGGCCTAAATCAGCCTTCTGCTACTGCTTCCAGTTTCTTCCATGGGGTTAATTAAGCAGAGCCGATCAGCATCTCAGGCATCACAAGAAAGCAAATACCTCCCCAACAATTCCGGGACTAAATAAGGGTCCTTCCAATGTGAGGTTCCATAACCTCACATGCAGAGATGGGCAGAGGAGGTGGCTACCGAATATGATAGATTTCAGAGTTCTGGTAAGAACTCTGAAAACTCTGAAACAGCAAGAAATAGCTGACGCTGTGTTTATTCCTTCACCTCTCATTGTTTTATTCATTCCTTTGGTTCATATCCATCAGGCAGGCTCCACAAGGGACAAGCCTACAAGCAGGGGTTACTCTACAGCCAGCACATCATCCAGGCTGCTAGCGGACATTTACTCAGGACCTGCCATGAGCCAGGAGCTGCCGATGCATGGGCTGGAGAGAAATTAGGGGCCAATTCATGGGGCCAACACTGGAGGAAGGTATGTGTGTCTCCATTTTGCAGATAAGGAAACAGAGGCTTCAAGAGGTTAAGCTACTCACTCATCCATCCAGAGCTTGTGGGAATGAAGCAGATGGAAACCGAGATTTCCCAAGCATCCTGCACCTCCTGACAGGCAAACCTGGGGTCCAGTGGGGCTGCAGACTTGGGAGTCCTGCCCCAGGCTGAACACAAATGGCTTGGCCGAAGGAGGGTCTGGTGTACCATGACCCTCAATTCCCAGGAATTCTAGGCCCAGGCTGTCCAACACACCAGCTACTAGCCACACGTGGCTACTGAGCACTTGAAATTGACAGGAAATTGTAACTAATTAATAGTTTAAATTTTAGTTTTAATAGCCACGTGTGGTGGTGGTCACTGCATTGGACTGCACAGGTTTAGACTGAACATGGAGAACAGAGGCAGGGAGCCGGGTCTGCTGCATCAGCCCCGTGGGAGCAGTGGAGGAGGCAGCGGGAGGAGCTGAGGGGAGGATGTGCATCAGGACAGCAGGGGTGCTGGAGTGAGGAGGCAGCCTGGCGCGTCCAGCCTGGCACACAGGGCCTTGGTGAGGGATGGTGGTGAGCTATTACTGAGGCACTTGCTAAATACTGGTTGATGGAGGGAGGAGGGACACAGCTCTGAGGGGCCGCCTGACATCCCGGGGCCAAGAGCTGGGCCTGAAGGTGGGACCCAGGGAAAGTCTGCGAAGGAGGAAGAGCAGAAACAGAGTCGTGAAGGACAAGCTGGTGCAGGTGGTCCGTGTGAGGCCAGGACATACACTGACCCAAGCCTGGGTCTGGGGCCTGGACTTTGTTCTGCACAGAGGCCACCTGAGACAGTTTTCAGACCCTGCAGCCAGACGGCAGGGGTTCTCCATTTCCCTGGGCCTCAGCTTCCTCATCAGTGAAATGGGGATGTGAGGGTATCCACGTCACAGGACTGTGGGGAGGAGTTCACATATCTAAAGGGCGTGGAACAAAGAGGTCTGAGTCAAACATCTGGTGAGGGGCACGTGGTGAACGCCGTCACAGGAGGGAGACCAAGGCATCTGAGGTCGAAGCAGAGACTCTGGAGTGGTCTGGGGAGAGGGGCTCGACACAGAGACATACAAACATCCCACAGAAAGGGCTCTGTGGGCACAGGGAACAGGTGCTCCCAAATCAGGAACCCCTCAAGGTACCCCAACCCTGATCCCAACCCTAAACCCCTGCCTGAGTGTGACTGAGGGTCACCAGACTGAGGGTCCTGTCTCCTCCAACCCCTGCTTCTGCCCTGTCACAGCAAACTTCAGGTGCTATTGGCCATGTCCCCTGCCTTGCCCACTTCCATCCCACACTGTGAGTTTTCCAAGCCTGTGCTCCCTGCGTCCAACCTGGGGCCCAGCCCAGACGGATGTTCAGTGAATGTCTGGGGCACGCCAGACAGACAAGCTCTAGGGTGGAATTTCAGGCACAGGGATCTGGCTGTGTCTCCAGCAGAGCCACACAGTCGTGGACTTGACCCTGTGGGCACTGGGCCAGGGTGGAGGGAAGGCACCCAGGGGCTGTGAGCAGGTCTTGGGGAAATGTAAGGATTGCGGTTGGGCTGCTGGTGCCTCTGCCCTGTCCTGGGGTGGGTGGAGAGAGCAGTTCAGCCCTGGGTGTGGAGCTGAAGGAGCCGCAGGGAGCAAGATGGGGAGATGAGGTCCTCACAGAGCTCAGTCCAGTGGAGGGACAGAGGACAAATGAGAAAACCGACCAACAGAGGATGCCAGCTATCAGGGAGGACCTCCCGAGGCGAGGACATTTCACCTGAGACCCAAGGTCGAGAAGGAGCCATCTCGCAGAGTGGAGACGGTATGCCAGGCATCAGGTGAAGGGCACAAAAGCCTGTGTGTCAGGAACAACCAGTGCCATGGCAGCAAAGCAGGGCCCAGAGTCTGTTGAGGGGCATGGGGGGCCTCGAGGAGAGGGCGGCAAGGATACTCCCCAAATTTCAGGGGCTGCTTGGGCAGAAGCCTGAGACCCCCATCTGGGTTGGTGCCCTCTTGGGTTAGCAATCCCAAGGCAGGGAGACAAAACTTAAGGACTAAGAAACTTGATTTTCTGATTTGTAGAAAACTGATAGTTTTGGGATTTTCTCAGGTGATGGGGGGTTGATGAGAAGTTGTCTCATATCAACCTTGGAAATTTTGCCAGAGGCACCCGAATGGATGACCCAGGTTGGGTTGGTCTCACAAAGTGGGCTGAGCTGAGCTGAGCTTTTGTTTGCACGGCTGGGCTGATTCATTCTGCTCAAGAACTTCCCAATGCTGGTCTCCGTTTGTTTCTGACGTTAACAGACTCTCACGGAACTCTGCCCTCTACATTCCCGGCCTACAAATACCACCGGTCTCTAACCCTCCGCAGACCCGCCTGGCCCTTGCTACAGTTTGCGATTCCTCATCTCTCTGAGCCTGACTCAGTTTACTTCCTTATTGAGGTCAAGACAGCCACACCTTCTAGCTGGGCAGGGCTAGGCAGAGCGGGAGAGCCGTGGGCCCGGAACATTCCTCCCAGGAGGTGGCGCCTCCATCATGACAGTCCTCTTGGCAGCTGGCACTTAACTGAGTGCCTTTGGGTGCCAGGTGCTGTGGCGCTCACCTTACTCCATTATCCTAACGGCGACTGGGCGGTGAGGCAATGGGCACAGGGGCTGAGGACCAGGATTCACACCTGCCCACCACCTCTGTGGGTTCTCACTCAGGAGTTCAGGAACAAAGTCTAAGCTGCTGCCTTGAGCCTTGCCCAGGGCAAAGGCCCCCTCACTTCTGCTCCGGCCCCCAGCAGGAGTCCCTAGGCCTGCGTTTGTGGGTCACATGCCTCCCTGGCTCTGGCACATGCCCAGACCAGCCACCAGAGCACTGTGCCCAAGAGAGCTGCACCTTCCCAGATCCCCTCTGCTCGTGCCACCCGCACCTGTAACCGTGTGAGCCCCGCTGCCCACCCCCTACAATCCCCTAGGCGCAAGGCTGGGCTGCAGTGACTTAAAACTGCATTTCACAAAACCCAAGGTTCCCAGAAAGGCCGAGGGAGCCCCAGAGCCTCTTCCACCCCCCACCCAACTCCAGTGGAAACAGATCACCCGGACAGGGTCCCGTGTTGGGGTTTCCAGTAGCTTGAAGGGGGTCTCGTGCTCTAAAAAGCTGGAAAAGCTCTGAGGCCAGGCCTGGACTTCAGGAGCTCTGAGGGCTAGAAGCCCCTTAGAGGACCTGGCTCCTGCAGACCCTGCCCATGTGCACGGCCCTCCTTCCGCATTATTTTTTTCCCAGCCCCGCTGGCCCAGAACTCAGAGACAGCGAGGGAGGGTCTCACAGCGATTGCACCCATCACTCAGGGGTTTCCATTAACTGTTTGCCAGCAGTGTTTCTCCTCACGTTAGCCCCCATCGCTATCACAGATGAGGAAGGGGGTTCACAGTCTGGGTGACCAGCCTGGTTCACCCTCTAAGAGCAGCAAAGTGTCCAACCCAGACCCTGGGGCCTCTCGCTCCCCACCACCCGAACCTGCCTTGGCCTCTGCCTGCCTCTCCCTGGGTACCCCCAGGCCCACCCTCCCCTCACCTGACCCGGTACCTGCCTCGGCGAGGCAGTGTCCCGGCCTCACTGCTGCATTGTGCCTCCCAATCCCATGCCTGGCCTTCATGGCTTGGCGGCAGCTGTTTCCTTCCTGGAGGCCGTCCCCCAACCCCCAGGCTGAGCGCAGGTGGCAGGGAGCTACATGGGGACCCAACCTTGGCCTGGCCAGGTGCCAGCTCTGCCCTTCCCCCGAGCTAGTTTCCTGGCCCCACCTCTTCCCAACTGGGTGGCCTCACCTCTTTTGGCCTCAGTCTCCTCAACTACGAGATACAAACAAGTAACCAAGTGGCAGGGCGAGGCAGCCCCAGCCTGCAGAAGCCAATCCCCAGAGCCAAGGTGGGAGCACCGCGGTTTCCATCTTACAGGTGAGGAGCCCGTCTGTGCTCTGAGCTCAGTGAACTGCATGCCCAACTCCTCTCAGAGCCTTGTCCTGCTCCCTCTCTGGGCGGAAGTTCGCTGTGAACTGTGCCCTGGCTCCTGGGCACTGTCCAATGGGACATGGAGGTACACGCAAAAGAGCCTGGAAGTAAACTCTCCACTGGTAGGACCCAGTGCCTCAAACAAAGTGAGTCTGGGGGTGGGGCGAGGAGCTGGGAGACCTGGGTCTGATTCCAACAATGCCCATCAGAGAACCTGGGCCATTCACCTGCACATGGGCCCAGCGCTCCACCCTGTTGGGGTGCGAGTAGGCCAGGGAGAGGGGCTCTCTGGGATCGGGAGCAAGGCTGGCCACAGATGAGAAATCAGCAGGCTCAGAAGAGACCCCCTAACAGCTACTGTACTGCCTGGCTCCACGTCCAAGTCCACCACTGGCAAAGCACTTGTTCTTTGTGTTAGGAATGACCCTCTCCAGGGTCCTCCTGAGAGAATGAAGACATAAGTCAGACCCTGGTGCAGAAGAGAGTTGGCTGGCGGAGCTGCGCACATGCGTGCTCCTGAGGGGATGGATGCATCGGGGGCCTTTAACTGCCTCACTCCTGGGATTCCTTCTCCCTCCTCACGCCCCACCTGAGCCCTTGCCTCCCTGAGGGGCGGAGTACCGTCAACCCCAGCCTGCTCAGGAGCCCCCATCAGCCTGGAGAGAAACTTCCTGTTGGCCTGTCTGCCTGCCCCACGGCCCCACTGTGCCTCAGTGTCTCCATCTGTCAGACAGGATGA